AAAAGCGTGAAACGTTCTGCTTTGAGGGAAAATTTGTTTTTTCTTTTGATTAAGAGAATTTTTTTTTCAGGGCCTGTTACACAACACCCAGAAACAACAGATGAAACGCCTACCCAATTATATGATGTTCATTTTGTTTAAAACCAAGTTTCCCAAGTGTAATGGTTTCATATATCCAGTTTGGGACCAGAAATTTAAAAGATCAATTGGGATATCCGGGCTGAACAGGATGATCAAAACTTGGTTGGAAAGGTTTATATGTGGTATCTTATATTTATTCAGTTCTTTGACACACCGGTTTAGAGTCAGGAAGTGGTTTTCAGATAATTTTTAAAGCTTCAGATCAAAACCCTCCAAAACACTCCTATTGTAATTCGATGGATTTTTATTTTGGGCGCGTCGGAGATAAGGCACCAACTGCACTGCCTGAACTAAGGCCCAGATTATCGACAGGATAAGAATTTGTTAATTTTTCCAATTTCACACCGTGAATGGTGTATGCCAGATTCCTTTTCTCTAGTTTCATAGAATTTGAGCGTGGCTTCATTTAATAAAATTCATTATTATATTTACTTTATCTGTTTTCAAAAAATTGATTTTGGCTAGAAAAAACCTAGTTTTCTTTTTAAGTTTAAATGTCAAAAAAAAAAAAAGTAGGAAGGGACAGATTTTACACAACCTGGCATTTTCTTATCTGAAAAGGTATACATTGCCAGAACCCCAGTTTGGGGGTTCAGGCCTCAAAAAGCATTTATTTGCACTGAGCAAAACATAACTATAGGTTACTAGAAGGATGATTGGCCAAATTTTGAAGAGCAGGCATTGGAATGATTTAGAACATTTAATAATTTCTCCTTTATGTTCCAAAACACCTTAATTTCAGAAACCTCCAGTTCTGGTAATAAGAACACCAGGCTTTTTGGGGGTCAAATGTTTGATAGGTCTACCCTTAGAAATAAGCGGATTGTGTTCAGTGAGATGTCGGAAAAATACCAAGGACCTCTGTCATCTAATGTTGAGTTTGGGGCAAAATGTTCGGGACGAAGAATTTTAATTCAAATGATCAAGACCCTCGTTTTATAAAAATTGGGCAAACTACTTTAGTTCTATTTAAATTTGATTGGTGATCTTCCTTTATTTACAGATACTATTTTTAATTCTAACTTTTATTAAAGCTTTTGCATCTTTTAATTAACCATTCTTCAAAGATCAATGAAAGAAATACTGGCCAGACTTACATCCTTGCAATAGATTTTGAATAATGTTGCCGTTGCTTTTTATGTTTGCGACAAAATCCAGCTGACTGTTTGGTTTTTGATTGAATATTTTATATATAAATACACTTTATTCCAGAAAGGATTTTCAGATCTAGGTCATTCATTGGTGGGTATGTTTCCTGAAGAAGGTTGGGAGAGCAGCTTCCGTTATATAGGATCTAAAGCTGTGCCTGTCTGTCTGTGCATAACGAAAAATCTGCTGGGATTAAATTGAAATAATAGAAAGAAGATTACAGTGATAAATATATAATTTGAAGGGGACTGCACGTATGGGTTTGTCGAAAAACAGAGTAAGTAGATTGAGTGTGGAGATGAGTACCATATGGAAGTCATTATTCAACATTGAAAACACACAAAGGGTATTATTTTTTAGGATTGTTGCAACGTTACATAAGTCATTCTTTCATTGTAGCTTCTTGTTTCCCCTCCTTTTTCTTGTCTTTCGTATGTCATGTGAATGTCTAATTCACCAAGCTCTATTTCTACATTATGTGTCCCAGAAAACCACCCGTCATCCTACCCGCCATCCTTCCTGCTAGTGTGGTATATTGTTCACCAAGTAACCGAGGGAGATGGTAAGCGTAGGGGGTATAAGTGTGCCGGTAGAATAGATACCCGCAGATGGCATCCGTCTCTTTCTAACTGCAAGTCATCAATTTCATGATCTAGAGTAATGACGTCTTGGTCCATTTCAAAGTATCCCCCCTTCAGACCTCTAACACATATCCCAGTGTAGTTTTTCCCTTTTCAGAACAGTCTGCAAATCTCCTTTCTGTATTACCATCAGCTGTCATATCACGTTCTTCTTAATCTCACTCACGGTCTGAAATCCTTTTTGCAAAGGTTTTATCTTACTAAGAAACTAATGTTTCAGAATTTCCATTCTTTTTTTTGGCGGCATATAAACTCTTTATAAGTCAGTGAAAGACGAAATTTAATTTTCTTGGGTGTTTTGAAATAATAAAATATGATATATGTTATTCTGCTTTTGAGCAATTAATTTTTTTTTTTGCCCTGGAATTGGTTGGTTGATTTTGTTTAGCAGCATCTCTATGAATTATTTAATGCTGAAATTTAAATATTTTGAATACAATTTTATGGCTTCAAATTAATATATTTTGAACGCAATTGTATGCCTTCAACCACAGATAAAATGTATTGTAGGTATTTTGTTTTAATATCTATTATTGGTAATTTTACTGTAAATATGTATTGTTGGTTGGTTGATTTTGTGTAGTAGTACATCAAAAAAATTAGGGGTTATCTAATTTTGTAATCTAAATATTTTGAACACAATTTTATGGCTTCAATTAAATATATTTTGAACGCAATTGCATACCTTCAACTACAGATAAAATGTATTATTGGATATTTTGTTATAAATTGTATTGTTGGTAATTTTAGTATAAAATGTATTGCTGGTCATCTCGATTTAAAAATATATTGTTAGTCATTTTACTATAAATATGCAATGTTTTCTGATCTAAAAGTTTAATGCTGGTATTTCTACAATAAAAATATATTTTTTATACTTTCATTGTGCTTTGTTTTTCTTGGGAAGTTCACTATTTGCCCATAGATGGGGCCCTGACAGGTGCTACCAACCCATGTCAGCAATTAAGAGGTTGTTCCTCGCTCTTCAAAACCTCCAATCATCCGATCGAAAACCTTGCTGCCGGATTTAGTTTATCGTCATTCCCAGGTCTCTTTCCATTCGTAACGTTTTATCATCTACGAGAAAACCCAGAACTTTTGTCTATTGGAATAAAAAGTAAGACTCACTTATATGACAATGGTAATGGCAATCCTAGCCGTTTCCCTATAAGGAAACATTTGACATTTGTTGATAGAACAGTTAGTGCTACTGTCGGTCAAATTTTATAAAACCTTTCAAATAAGTTTTTCAAGTTCACTGTTATTGTTCTAGCATTTATGGGAATTTCCTTTCTAACATTTTGTTTAAGGCTGTGTTGAATGTCATCACCTTGAGTATAGTATTACTTTCCTTTCTTGTTACATGTGCTGTCCATTTTAGTTGTTAATGCTGTCAGAAGTATTCAAGAGGTGTGGGCTTTTGTAAAGTTCTTCGTGATCCTATAGTACCAGATCTGATGAAAGGTTGCCTGCTTTAAGACCCAGAGGATTCATTCGCTTGAAGCCATTTGGTCGCTATGCATATTCCTGTAAGTGTCTAGATCATAGAAATTTATTTAAGAATATTACGTAAGTTCTTAAGGTTAGTGTTTTCGGTTTTGTGCTCTGTTGCAGTGTTAAACAAAAATGCACCTTGCGCAGTCTAAACTAAATTTAATCAATGATCCATGCTTTATGGGATTTAGATTTTATTAATCCTACATTCTGAATTTTTATGATGAAATAAGAGTATATGCCATCGCTGTTTCTATTAAATACTTGCAGAAGGCTGCAGAATCACAGCCGAAATAACATAATAATCGAAACAACAAGAATCAGGATACTAGACTGAATAATTTTTGGAGTGTGTTTTTTGTTGTTTTTTTTTTTTTTTCGAATAAATGTTATTTTATTATTTATATTAATATATTTTTTTTTCATATATTTTCTAGTGTGCTATAATCTTCCGAAGCAAAACGATCCAAAACTTCGCTCGGCAAAATATTTGATCTAAAAATTGCACTGAATAAACCCAGGGGCTTAATTACAAAGAAATTGTATACACATTATTTTATTTTTTTTCTTTTTAAAGAAAGCATGCAGCAAAAAAAAAATAAATAAAGAAAGAAAAGAAAAGGATATATATATATATGATTTTTAAAAATCTATATGAAATGAAATAGTTACAACACTGAAAAATAAAAGTGGTCTAGAGGAGTTCGATAAAAACTTGAAAGAAAGAAAAAACTTGATTTGAAAGAAAGAAAAAAGAAAGAAAGAAAGAAAAGAAAGAAAAGAAAGAAAGAAAGAAAATCTGTGTAAAAAAGGAGTTTAATTGAAATAAAAAAAAAAAAAAGAAATCTTTCGCAAAAATTTATGAAAAGAAAGACAAAGTTACAACGAAAAAAGAAAAAAGATGGAAGTCTAAAAAAAGGGTATAAGTTTGATAAAGAAAGAAAGAAAGAAAGAAAAAAAGAATGATTAAAGTCTGTTATTTATGATGAAAAAATAAACAAAAATAATTCAAATAAAAATAAAGATAATAAATGTCTTAAAAGGAGGTGGAAAAAAAGAACAAAGACATGGAAATGTGTCCAATTCTCAACTGAGTGATGGAAAACTTTTTTGAAGAAAAATCCAGGTGTTTTCTCAAAACGTGAATTCAAAAAAAAAAAAGAAAGAGAAAAAAATGTCCAAAAAGGGGAGTGTTTAAATGAAAAAAAAATATATATATATAAATATAATTAAATAAATTGGATGTTGTGTAGATGGAAGAAAAAAAAAAAAGCCAAGGCAAAAAGTTGATTAATAGAAAGAAAGAAAGAAAGAAAGAAAGAAAGAAAGAAAAAGAAGGAAGGAAAAGGAAGAAAAAGAAAGAAAAGAAAAGAAGGATAGATAGAAGGAAGGAAGGAAGGAAGGAAGGAAGGAAGGAAAGAAAAAAGAAAAGGAAAAGAAAGGAAGGAAGGAAAGAAAAAAGAAAAAAGGAAGGAAGGAAAAAAGGAAAAGGAAGGAAGGAAGGAAGAAAGGAAGGAAAAAAAGAAGGAAGGAAAGAAAGAAAGAAAGAAAGAAAAGAAAGAAAGGAAGGAAGATTTAAAAGAAGAAAGAAGGAAGGAAGGAAGAAAAAAAGAAAGGAAGGAAGGAAGGAAAAAGGAAAGAAAGAAAGAAGGAAAAGGAAGGAGGAAGGAAGGAAGGAAGGAAAAAAGAAGGAAGGAAGAAGAAAAAAGGAAAAAAAGAAGGAAGAAAAGAAAAAATTAAAAAAGGAAGGAAGGAAGGAAGGAAGGAAGGAAGGAAGGAAGGAAGGAAGGAAAAAAAAAAAAGGAAGAAAGGAAGGAAAAAAAGGAAAAAAAGGAAAAGGAAGGAAGGAAGGAAGGAAGGAAGGAAAAGGAAAAAAGGAAATAAAAGAAAGAAAGAAAGAAAGAAAGAAGGAAGAAAGAAGAAGAAGGAAGGAAGGAAATGAGGAAGGAAAAGAAAAAAAGAAAGAAAAAAAGAAAAAAAAAAAGAAAGAAAAAAAAAAAAAGGAAAAAAAGGAAAAATGAAAGAAAAGGAAGGAAAAAAGGAAGGAAGAAAAAAAAAATTAAGAAAAAAAAACGAAGGAAAAGGAAAAAATGAAAAAAATAAAGGAAGAAAATGAAAATTCTTCTGGAAAAGAAAAATTAAATTAAAAAAGAAATCTAAATTAAAAAAAAAATTTTTAAATTTAATAAAAAATAAATAAATTGAAAAAATGAAGAGAACTGATTATTGTTAAATAGAAATAGAAAATTTTAAAACAGATGTATTTGAAAGCAAGGAAAACAAAACTCCTTATTAATTAAGAAAGATAGATAAATTTGAAAAATAAATATAAGATATTCATTTTCTAGTTTTACTTTTATTTATTAGATAGATATTAAAGAAATTTTATTATTATTATTCTAGTTTCTCTTTATTCAAGTCCTCATAAATAGATAACATTATTATCTTTATAAATAAAAAATAGAATAAAAAATCCATCTCTACAAAATTTGTTTCTCCTCTGCAAAATCTTCTCATCTTCCTCCATTTTTCCAATTTTTCTTTATCTTCCACTTTTCATTCAACTCTTCTCATACCACGACGTTGATATAAATTTTCTTTTCCTCTCAATAATAAATAAATAATTTTCCATGCATTTTCATCTCTATCTCTCTTTTTCTTTTCTCTTTTTAAATTATTCCTTTTTTCTTTCTTTTCGTTCTTTCTTTCTTTTTTTCATTTTTTTTCCCATTTTTTCTCATCTCCAAATGAAAGAAGCAAATAGATTTTTTCCGTTCTATCAACCAAACATAACATCTTCATCAACAAAATCGTTTTCATTTTCTGTTTTATTTTTTTCCTGTCTTTGCTTTTCATTTTTATTTTTTCTTTCACAATTTTTTTAAATTTTTTTTTCTTTCTGTTTCTCTTCCGCCCATCCAGTAATTAACAGTTTATATTAAGCCACTGCAAGATTCATTAAAGCCTCATCTAAGAGACCCTCAGCGAATAGCTCATTCCGCCGTGTATTTGCATTATTATGAAAAGGATAAAAAAATTAATAATTGCCTGTTATGACACATCTGTCGTTGTCAACTCGACAAATTATTGCTTGTGGCGTTTCAGAAGAAAATAAAGCATCTATTACAAAAAAGAATCAAAAAAGATATTTTAAAAAATGGACTCGTAGAAAAACTATACATAAAATCGTATAAATAAATAAGTATAAATATAATGCAAAAAAAATATAAAACAATATATATTGAAATAGTTCAAATTCCGGAATTTAATCATTTTAATTTTTTTGATGGGATTGAGAAGTTTTCTTCTATCGAACATGGCGTCTTTGTTTCTTCCTGTTGGCTATCACTGCGTAATTATAAAGAGTATATTATTATAGTTGTTGGTCTTGATATTTTTTTCTTAATCTGAAACAGATTGTTCATTTTATGGTGTTGGTGATGGTTTGATTGGGCGAATACGTAAGATGGTTTATTGGTGAGGAAAAAATTGAATACGCAGAATGTTTATTCGTAACAAGGAAGGAAGGAAGGAAATTCAAGTGGAAGGAAGGATAACAGAATAGTGTAAAGGAAGAAGAAAGGAATAAAGATTAGATACGAATGAAGAGGATGAACAAAACGAAGGAAGAGACAAAAATCGAATGAAGAAAATCAATTGTATATGAGAGATGTTTTCGATTTAAAAAACAAAAAAAACTTAATGAATGAAAATTACATAGGCGGGACGATGAATGAAAACTAGATGTTTATAAATGAGGTTGCTGCTCTGAAGTTTGGGATTGATCCGAAATTTTTACTTCATTTGAAGACTGAAGAACGTATCGGCTGAAACCGTTGCAATAAACGGAAACGAAAAATTTTTACCAAGAAAAAAATTTTACTTATATCTATTTTCAAAAAATATCAATGGATTTATTTTGATTAAAGAAAAGCAATTGTGTTTTATAGTAGTGGAACACACCTATTCTATAGTTAAAAAATATCTCCCACCTATAATAAGTAGGAGTATTAAGATATAACGAGTGAGTCGGTCAGTTCATTCTCGACTGGCTGATCGGTTGAACTCTCTCCTTTCGGGCGGGGAGGAACCCGAACGAGGCTACGCCGAATATATATTCTTATTTATATTGAGGTAAACCGACCCTGAACCCGTTTATATCGGGTTTTTATGGGCATATTTTTATAGCCCACGAATAATTTTAAAGATCCCACGTTAAAAAGGCCTTGTGCCACATGACGCCATCGTGTGGGGGTGGGGGCTGAATATCGTCGGTCAGTCAGTCAGTCGATGTCGGACGACAGTTAGTCGAATACTAAAGTATCAGCGACCACAACTAGATTACTCTGCGTTATTTTATTATATCTAGTTCCTAACGTTTTGTACGTCGAACCTATTTTAGGACCGACTTTTAGTAAAATACAAGCCTCCAATCTGTTTTTTTTTTTCACAAACAGTGTGACTTTTCATGCGCGTGTATAATCTATATTCAAATATCTCTCTTGCGTGACTTTGCATGCACATGTACAGTCTATATTCACGTATCTGTGTTTTGATACTTTGCCTCTACGTGTATATTCTATATTCATATATCTGCTTTATGTGACTTTGAAGATAAAACATCTGTGTTCATCCAC